TTGAGGTCACGCCTGAGTGGGGCTATAGTGCTGCAGTAGTCCACATTGGGGTGGCACCAGCATATCATGTAAACTCCCCAGTAAAAGCAGGCCATCTGGAAGCACTACTGAGTCTACTAGTTGTCAGGAATGCCAGAGGCTACAGACATGGGTTTAGGGAGTGGAGGCGTGCAGCAGAAGTTGGTATTGAAGGTCTGCACTACCTGCTCATGCAATTTACTCCTACCTCCAGACCCGTGTAAGTCCAATCTCTTATATACCATTTCCATCTTGCTGCTATGTATGATGGCCCACTTTAAAGCCTGGTGAGTCAGAGAGCCCTCAGTTCTTGATGTGAAGCCCAGAACACCAATAGTCACCTAATGTCCCCATGTTAGGTTTTCAGTCTCTACCAAGTTGCAGTTGCAAGCTAGAAGCTATTTATCTAAAGGAGAATAATTATCAATGAAGAAGGTCAACGATTTGCTTTAAAATCCTAGAGTTCTGAGTTGTGATTCTCCTATTAATGCTCGGCAGTGGCTTCATACAGTGTCCCTACTGACAACAGACACAAGTATTACTTACACTAAGTGAGTGTTAAGTATTATTGCATCTCCTGGATCATAAGGTTCAAGTGTTAGAGCAGCTTACATGACAACCTCAACTCACTGCACAGTCTTCTGTTGACCTGGCCCACACTCCTTATCAGCAGCCTTATAGTTGCATATTCAAATGTAGTATAACTTGCTCCGCCAAAAGCAATGCACCTTTTGTCTTTCACCTTGGAGTGAATATCTCAACATGCCCCACAAACGTCATTGATGTTGGGGACCCCTGAATTTTTGTGGAGTTTATCTCCCAGACATGTGTAGTTCACACATGTCTTACTAAAGTATCTTAAATACTTTCTACCTTCTCATCACATCCAATCTGCATATTGTCATCATTATAGTAGACCTGTGATATGTTCTTCAGGATGATGTGTGGACTATTATTATCACATATAGTAGGAGGACTGAGCTACCCCTGAGGCAAGACTTATAAGAGTGTACTGTTGGCCCTGCCAAGTAAAGACAGATGTTCCTTGCAAGCTGATATGGAGGAAAAGGCATTATCCAGGTCAATAGCAGCATACCAAAAGCAAAGGGTCATGTTAACTGGTTCAGTAAAAGTAGTATATCTGGGACAGCAGCTGCTTTGGCATCACTACCTGAATGAATTTACAATAATCCACAGTTATTCTCCGAAATACATTTGACTTCTTCACAGGTCAACAATGAATCAGATGGAACTGTGATAGGTATTATCATCCAATTTTCCAAGTTTTTGGCTATGGCATTAACTTCCAAAATTCCCCCTGGGGATGTGGAATTGATGCTGTTTACCATCTTAGTAGCAAGGGGAAGTTCCAGGATTTCCACTTAGCCTTTCCTACCAACTCGCCGTCAGTCTATAGGCCAGAGAGTCAATACGGGTTTTCTGCACATTGAAAAATATGTCTAATCCAGTTATGTGGTCAGGAACTGTGCCTATAACCATGAGACAACTGCCACTCAACCTTGAGCTATGATTCTATCTCTCACCTGACCAGTGTAAGTCCTCGATTTTGCAGATGCTCCACAGTGGTAGTTTAGGTTCCTGAGGATTAGCCTTAGTTCTGAGCCAGAGTCCAGTGACCCCTAAAAGGTCTGGGTATTTATACTTCCTCATCATGTAGTCATTCTAGTAAAAAATGAAGAGTTGGAGGAAATTTTAAACTATATACTTGTGTCAGTGGTGAGATATCCTCCCTTGAGCAGACCTGGCCTCCTCTTCAATTGAGAGATTTCAGCCTGTGCTATAACTTAGGTCTGGAAACTAGGTGGCAGACAACGTCTGTCCACTTTGGGAATTCAGGTCTAGTTTTTGGCTACTAAACTGAGGTTTCTGTTTTTTTTTTTTTTGTATTAGATAGATCAATAATTTAATAGGGGGCTTATCTATTTCACACCTAGAGATATAAGGGCAACTTCTAAAGATCCCTATAGGCCAGGTTTGTTTTAAAAATTACTGAAATATCCCTACTGCTCTGTGGAGTTGATGTGCCCACCTTTGCCAACTACGTGCTGCCACTTGGCGTCATCACCTTCACAAAAAATCATGGAGCCCAACACAGTGGTGGCATCCGTATGGTCATACCTCGCCTACAAATGAGAGAGCACATACAGAGCTCTGCAGGATACTGCAGGATATTGAAAAATACTTTATAGTGAATACTATTCCTTCCCAACAGATGCCTTAACATTCACAGGAGAAACTTGCAAGAACACAAGCTGAACTAACATTGTAAATGTGCCCACAGGGAGATGTCAATACTTAGAGAAAGGAGTATCTTCTGGGCCTTCTTGAGGGACATAGCTTTTATGTTCAGGAACAAGTCAAGGTCATAAATGATAAATCTAGTCCAACAATTCTCCCTCTTGTCTTTGGGCTTCCTCTTCCACATCATGCTTTAGCATCTCAATAGTATTAACTATAGACCACCATTGAGTTAAAGTTTCAGTAAATCCAACCAACAAGTTGCTAAGAGTCACCTCCAGATGCATGAGTCGACACAGTAAGTCTGCAAGTCCATCTCTTGTAAGCGTGTCCACATGAATTAATTAGGCTTGATCTAATATTGCATACTCCTTTCCTTAGATTAGAACACTTAGAATCTACTTCCACATTTGTTTCCCAGGTTTCTGCTAATACATATTAGCAAAATCTTCTAATTCTTTTGGAGTGCAAACTATTCTCTCCTGTATGATAGTGTGTAAAGGCCCAACTACTGCACTGACATTTGAATCTAGATATGGGACTAGGGGCAATGGGACAGAAAGAGGGACAATGGGTTGTGGTGAGTCTTGTGGAGAAGGAACCTCCCTTTTCCAATTATTTGGCCAAGGTAAGGGTTTCATAGCATTTTCAAGCAAAGAATGAGTAGTCTCCTCTGTCATAGTAATAAAGCTACTTTCCACAGTCAACAAAGAATCAGGTGAATTGGATGTTCAAGACTGTCAATTATCTGTGTCCAAGCAGAGTCCTTACTTCAAGTTTGGAGGTTCCATTCCTTCCCAACTGATGCCTTAACTTTCACAAAAGAAACTTGCAAGACCATAAACTGAATTAACATTGTAAATGAGTTCAAGGGTGATATCACATACTGCTGGCCACTGTGCACTGAAGATCTCAGCTGAGAGGAGCACAGTAGAAATAGGAACAAGAGTCCCTTCTGATTTCAGTGTTCTTCCTGTATCCTCTGTTGGTGAAGCTTACTGCCCATTGGGCCAAATGACAAGGGAGAAACATTCTAGTGTTCTGATCCAGGCAATGAGGAGTGGGTTTCAAGCTGAGGATCAATGGGTTCATCCATAGTACATTTGGTCTTCATTCCTCTCTGAGGGTCTCTACCACCATCCCATGATGAAAACACAAGTACTGCAAATAGAAATGAGGAAAAGGAGACCAAAACGAGGACATCCAGACCAGAAAGACCATCTTCCTAATACTATATACTTACCTGTATCTGGGATGACCAATCATCTGTTTGCTCAGGACTGTCCAGTAATTAGCACTTAAAGTCCTGTATCCTGAGAAACCCCTTAGTCCCAAACAAACTGGACTGATTTCTAATGCTACAAGTGTCCCAGACGTTTTCTAACTTTCTGTGCATCAGAACCATCTTGTGCATAGCTAATAATACATGCATGTGATTTTTTTAATGCATTGATTTCAGATGCAAACAGGCCATGGATTGATTTTTGAAAAACATTCAACTTGGAGGCTGAACAAGTGTTAATGATTACTTGTAGGGACTCCTCAATCCAGACTTCTTCCTGTTCCCAAACTATAATCATCGAAAAGAACAAAATAATATCCTTTGGGAGCTATAGCCAAGGTTCCTGAGCCAGTAGACATTGACAAATTACTAGTTGATAGAGGGGAAAAGATAAAAAATACTGTCAGGCCTCCCTCTCCTTTCAGTTCTAAGATAAATCATTTTCCCTTCAATGTCAGAAAGCATAACAAAGAGAAATGGATGCTGTGAAAATTGGACTTGACAGTAGCAACAATATGGGTACAATTATAGGGTACACTGAGCTTCCTGCAGCTAACCACTATCTAGTATCAGGTATCCGAACGACCACGTTCGGATAGCTAACTTAAATTCAGTGCTATATTTACTGCTTTCCCATCTTAAGATGCACGGCTTAACACAGCCACTTTTAAGAGGCAAGAGCGCAGATGGAGTGAAGAGAAGACACCCTTCTTTAACACTTTTTAGATTTATTGAATTTCTGTTGTTTTCCGGGCACTGTACTAAAGTCTTTAAAAACATCACTTTATTTAATTCTCCCAACAGTAACCATGCCCATTTAGAAAAAGAAGTAGAGTATCAGCCCCAGCTGATATACACCTACTAAGCGGTGGCATTTGGACTGGAATTTAGGTCTGTTCACTCGGGCAAACCCTGCTTAACGCTGTAGAGCAGAGACCAACAAGGCGTGGTCCCAGGTCCGGTCGTCAGTGCTACGATCCAGGCAAGTCCAGGCTGCAATGTGAACATAAAGGACGAGCATCTTAGGCTTTCACTGTTTCAGGACAAAACACAGATCCGTGGGTTGGGCGCACTATGACCTGGTACTCCAAGTCCCTCGCTCTCCCAAAGGCTGCGCTGGGACACGGTCGCTGTTTCCGCATCTCGAGTTTCGAGGAGTTCACGTCCCCAGGACCTGGGCTTAGGAGGCGTGTCTTCACTTCCTCCCTCGCCAGACCCCGGCCTCTCGCACCCAAGCACCTTCAATCCCCGCCCTCAGCTTCAACCCGGTTCAGCTTCTTCTGCGCCTCGGCCCTCCAGGCGCAGGGCACGTGGAGCTACCCGGATTCCGAGCCGGGCACCGGAAGCGGCCGCGTTGGCCCGTGACGTCTGAAGGAAGTGCATGACGCCGCGTCCTGTGGTTGGTAGATGCCCGAGTTGGTGCTTCACTCTTAAGGTTCCCCGCCGGACCACAGGCTGCGGAGGGTCAGGCCCCCGGGCGCTGCTTTTAGGCGGAGCGACTTTGGATCTCCGAGCCGCGCTCCGCCCTCAGGTGCGCTCTCCGAGCTTTCCGCTGGGGGTCTCGGGCTGGGGGTGTGAGGGCCGCCCCTGAGGTCCGTTACTGGGCGGCCGCTGGGACCACATCCTGGGCCTCCTTAAGGAGAAGGGTCTAGATAGGGAAAGGAGCCAGCCCTAATCCAGGACAAGGTTCGCTTAATCCGCACCCCAACGTAAGGGGTTGGGGTGTTGATTTCTCTGTATATTGAGGAAGAAGCGGGCTCAGAAAGGGGGCAGTCATCTGTCACAGGTTATGCCGCTGGGAACTGACAGATGTGGTTGGAGCGAGTCCTGGCAGGCCCCGGAGTGCCTGCAGTAGGAGCCTTGAGCTTTCTCTGCACAGGAATCCCGGGCTGGAGGCTAACAGGCAGATTTGGGACTCCACAGTGCAGTGACTGTGGGGTTGGGGATCTGGAATATGATTTTTCAGCAGTTGTCCCCTGACAAATCACATGCTTCCCTGTGCTCGGAGTGTGCGGGTGAGCAGGCCATGGCCCGTTTGGGGATGACAGCTAGTTGTTGTGTTAAGATTTTAAGGCCTTAATTCAGAGAAAATGCCAAACAGAGAAACGCATCTCGTGGGACTAGCGAACTGGTTTTAATTATGTCATGTACTCCTATAGGCAAATGGCAACCCTTATCATCTCCCTACTTATTAAAGGAAGTAATTTTTATCATCTAGGATAAATTGTTAAACGTAAGATTCCTGGGCCCAGCTCAGCTCTATTGAACTGAACGTTTGGGGCATGGGACCTGGGAATCTGTAAGCTAAACAAGGTATAAAATGAACTTGTTACTTTATTTACAGAACTTGAGATGTGAACCTTTTTAAGACCCGTAAAGAAGCGGGTTATAGATTAAGAACATGTGGCCTGACCGCCTTTGTTTTCGTTTTTTGTAGCTGTGAATACTTCTGTACAATGGGTTAAGCTTTTATTGACAAAAATATCAAAACAGTGTTACTGGCTGTTATGAGGTGGATTTTTTTCAATTAAAGACTGGAACTTATTTAAATTTTAATATTAATATACCCACTATTAATTTCCTCAACTGTACATACATACTGGCACATTATCTGCAGTGTTTTTATTTTTTATTTTTAGTTGTAGTTGGACATAATACCTTTATTTTATTTATTTATTTTTATGTGGTGCTGAGGATCGAACCCAGGGCCTTGCATGTGCTAGGCGAGTGCTCTACTGCTGAGCCACAACCGCATCCCTACAGTGTTTTTATAATAAAGAATAACACCTTTATCTATCCTAAATCAGATTTTTCTGGAGGCAGGCCATAGATATTTTAATTTTTTTTAATATACTGGAGATTTTTTTTTTTTGGTACCAGGGATTGAACCCAGGGGCGCTTAACCACTGAGTTACATCCCCAGCCCCTTTTTATATTTTAGATATAGGGTTTCCCTAAGTTGCTTAGGGCCTCACTAAGTTGCTGAGACTGGCTTTGAGCTTGTGATCCTCTTGCCTCAGCCTCCCAAGCTGCTGGGATTATGGGCGTGTTCCACCACACCTGGCCATACTGGAGATTGAACCCAGTGGTGCTCCACCACATCTCCAGCACCCACTTTCCACCTTTAAGACAGAGTCTTTCTGAGTTGCCCAGACTGGCCTTGAACTGCTATCTTCCTGTTTCAGCCTCTTGAGTAACTGGGATTACACGTGCATACCATTGTGCCCTGATTTTCTTTTTAAATTTTATTTTTAACTGACTAATGATAATTGTATATCGGGTACATATTGATGTTTCAATATATGTTTACATTATAGAATGATTAAGTCAAGCTAATAAATTTATCACCTAACATACTTATCATTTTTGTGGTAAAAACATTTAAAATTGATTCTTAGCAATTTTGAAATATACAGTCACCATTTCATGTATTAGATTACTAACACTCCTCTTGTCTAACTGAAACATTGTACCCTTTGACCATTGTCTTTCATTCCCCCTTCTGTCCCTGTCCCCTAGCCACTAATAATCACCATCTACTCTTTACTTTTATGAGTTTGACAGTTTTAGATTCTATACCAGTATTTGTCTTTCTATGCCTGTCTTATTCACATAGCATGAAGTCCTCCAGGTTCATTTGCCATGGGTGTTTTTTGTTTTGTTTTTGTTTTTGGTACCAGAGATTGAACCCAGGGGCACTTAAATGCTGAGCCACATCCCCAGCCTTTTTTAATTTTGAGACTTGGTCTTGCTAAATTGCTCGGGGCCTCATTAAGTTGCTGAGGCTAGCTTTGAACTTGTGATCCTTATGCCCCAGACTCCCTAGCCACAGGGATTACAGGCATGCTCCACTGTGTCTGGCCCACGGATGCTTTTAATAAGCTGCTAGGGATGCTTGATAATGGAATATGGAAATGTACTTGGAAACTGAATCTTAGCCTATTTCTCAACGTCCATATAGGGGACAATGGGAGTATTACAGCTTCCTTATGTAATTTATGATAGTTCTTGGTTTTAGAATTTCTTAATATGCACTTGTGAAAGAAGTAAAAGTATTATGATGAGCTTCCAAAGGATAAGCCAGCAGTCCCAAGTGACTTAGTAGGCTCCTTGGTTGAGATGTTGTGATGACAGAAATGGATTTATGTAGAAGCTCTGATTGTTATTGAGCCATCTCTTTTGCCTGAGAGGATTATAATTACCTCTTAATAGGACAAGCTTTCACAATCCTAACTAAAAGTGCTTTTTTTTTTTTTTTTAAACAGCTATCTTTGTGTGGTTTGTATCAGGAATGAAATCATCTGAAAGCTCAGAGCAGAAACCTTTTTGGTCAACATGGAAGACAAAAGAAGGCGAGCCCGAGTGCAGGGAGCCTGGGCTGCCCCTGCCCAGAGCCAGGCTACTGCGAAGCCAGGCAAGAACCTGTAGGACTTGGGGGGGGGGGTGTTCATGAATGTGAACAGCTATCATCCTCTTTTTTTATATATCCTTTTGGCTTATAATAAACTCCCATTTCAGTTGATGTTAAGGAATTGTTTAAAACATAGCTGGCATTTTGTCTGATTTTGTGTATGATGAGCTAAAGGTCAGTCTTTAGTGTTCCTCATAGTCAATACCCTCAAACCCTTCACAGTGTGCAAGGTCTTCTGTTGACTTTACCAATTAATTTTTGATGTCATAGATATCATCTCCAAGTGGGTTTTATTGGTCCTTACCCAGCAGAAGTTTATGGGAATGGACTTTTCCTTGGCTTAAGGTGATCCTTCTCCTGTTTCAGCTACCACTGCTAGGAGCCATCTCCATCAGACTTCTAGTCAGACCTGGAGGAACAAGGAGCCTCATCTGTCTGACAGAGAGTTTGTGTTTAGAGAACCTCAGCAGGTAAAGTCTTATTTCTCCTTCAACAGTAACAAACATAGCAGGGACTCAGATAGTGACTGAATAAATTTACTAATGAAGAGCAGAGCAAAAATTCTATAATAATTAAGGAATTTGAAATATTTCAGTTCCCTCATATGTCTGAGGATTATTTGTATTCTGCCCCAGTTTATGGTCATATGTTATCTCCCCACCCTTTTTTTTTTGGCAGGGAGACTCTTCCATTAGTAGATGGGTGAACTTATGCCATGATTCAGGCTTGCGTGGGTAATATGAGTTCTCACAATTCTAAACCATGCTGTCTCTAGTGATACTACAGCAGATGTCTTTGGAATTGAATTGAAATTTCATTTATTGTAGCAAAACGCTCTTCTGAAAAAAGAGTAGGTTCACTTTTTAATGTTTCTTTTATTTATTTTTTTCTTTTTTGCTGTGCTGGGGATTGAATGCAGAACCTTGCACATGTTAGGCAAGTGATCTATATCCCAATTCTCACTTTTTAATAATATGGGGGGAAAAGGAGTTAAAAATCAGGCATCTTGCTAGAGTAATTATTGCAAAAATAGTTACCAAATGTCCTTATTTTATATGATGTCTTCTGTTTTTTTTTTAAATCTCCTTTATGTAAAGAAGGTTTTTCCTTCTTTACATAAAGGAGATTTTTCCTGGCCAGTGGGAAAATTGATTAATTCTAATTGTATTTTTCTGTCTGCTAGTAAATGCTCTTCTTTGAAGAGTGGAATTGAGGGTCTCTGATGGGATAGTGAGAGGTGGGAATAAAAAAGGTATAGTTATAAACCTGATTTATTTTGACCAGAAATGAGAAGATGTGGTGAATGAGTCTCCTTGAGGATTAGGAATCACTCAAGAATTAAAATCTGCCTGTTTCCTTGCAGGTAGTACGTAGAGCCCCAGAACCACGAGTGATTGAGTAAGTAACTTGCTGCCTTTCTGTAATTGTTGCCCACAGTGAAAGGGAGAACCCAGGATCTTTCCCTCACTCTGAATTTTCTAGCTGGATGAGAATGGCCCAATAAGTGTCTTAATTTTAGGTTGGAATGTGTCCATCTCAGATGTCTTTGAACTTGATCTTTTGGGAGAACTTTCTGAATCTGCTGATCATATGGAAAATGCAGCAAGACCTCAGTACATTAAATTTTGATTCTGGTATAGATTTCCTGGCTGTATTTCACTGATATCTGCAGACAGTAAGCTAAGACATCTCTTGCTAAAGACAGAGGGGAATTTTTTCTGAGTCATCTGACCATGGCTTTTTGAGAAGTCTCGAAAGTACCATTTTACTAGTTGTGCTCACGAGAGCTGCTGGCAGTCCAAATGACCTTACAGCCCATTTATTAAAACCACATGATTGTTTCACAGCAATTTAAATGATACTAAATATTCCTCTTGTATTGATCTGTGTCAAAAATGGTTCTTATCCAAAATTGGTGAGAGATGCTTTGCCTTCTCTCCTGGTTCCCAGTTTCCATCTGATATAAATAAATTGTCAATAAAACCTATCCTGGGCTGGGGTTGTGGCTCAGCCGTAGAGCGCTTGCCTAGCAAGTGCGAGGCCCTGGGTCAATCCTCAGCACCACATAAAAATAAACAAAATAAAGATATTGTGTCCAACTAAAAAAAAAAAATTAAAAAAATAAAACCTATCCTTTTATTTTAGCAAATTAGCTTTAGGTGTGTGTTCTTACCCATGAGCCATCTGTTATGTTATTTGGCTATTTCAGTTTGGCTTGTATGTTATGTTATTTGGCTATTTATGCTTGTATGTTATATTATTTGGCTTGTATACAAGCCAAACTGAAATAGCCAAATAACATAACATACAAGCCAAACTGAAATAGCCAAATAACATAACATAACATAGAAGAATTTGAAACCAACACAAATGTCAACATACTTCAAGGAAAATATCTAGTCTTCGTTTGTCACTAGTTAACTTTATAACTAATCCTTAGTTAAGTTCTTCCCATCTCTCTGGATTTTAGTTTCCTTATCTGTAAAATTAAGAATTTGGATTGCATCACTCAAGGCTTAATCTAGTTCTAATGGTCTTTGATTTAAAAAAAAAAATTAGTATAGCACTTCCTTCATTGATGATAAAGGGAATAAGCAAAACCCATTCCAAATAGGACATTGAGGCTGAAAAAAAAAAATAGGTAATTGTCAGTTTGTAAGTCAAGAGAAGGATGACAAAATCCATTCCTGTTTGCTCTAGGGTTTGTTAATTCTTGTTATCTAAAGTTAACTTTGCAAAATTTTATATTTTTAATAATCAGAAGTGTGTTCCATATTAAGGGTGAGCCATTTTCTAAATATAAGCCAAAATATATCATATTAAAACTTGTATTCATGCTCACACACCAGGAGATTATGTAGATAATTTACAGAAACGTGGCATTATTGTATAGACTGTATAGGTAATTTCTTTATTTTTGGCTTAAAGGGTCTGTAAGAGATCAGAGATCATGAACTACTAATTCCTATAACAGAAGGTGATATTGAAACCTGACCCTTTGCATATTCTCTGTAAGAAGGATCTGACACAGTTGTCTTGACTGATGGACCTGTCCAGTCTGGGCTGTTTTTCCAAGTCTAATACACCCTGCGCATCTGCAACATTTCTATACTTTTCCACATTTGATTTATTTCAGTAAACTTTTTTGCCCATCTGCTATGTGCAGGCAATAGGGAACTATACCATCCCACTCCTTGTTCCTAAGGGACTGTCATCTAGAAAATGGAATAGACATGTAAACAAATTATAATCTTGTACATGGTAGAACAGTAGGTAGGTATGTGTGTACTAATACTAGTCACAGGATGAAATTGATAACAATATTTGCATGGATTCAAGATCAGGAATTGTTTATAGGTGATGGCTGAGTGAAATTTTTGAAGGGTAAATTATAATTCTCCAGGGTACCAAAGCTGAAGATGGATTGGGTTAGGGATGCTGGATGGCAGGAAGGCCTTCCAACATGCACAGGCTTAGAAATGCAGCCACATGTGTGTTCCGCAGATTCCAACGGTCAGTTGTTGCTGGAGGATGATGAATCTGTGGGAGCTTTCAGAGAGGAAGTCAGATCATGAAGACCTTGAAGGCAATTTTGGGCAGCCATTAAAGGAATTTACTCAGAGGAGAAACCACATTAACGTGTCTTTGAAAGCAACAGAAGCACAGAGCCCCAGGATGTGCTTGTTATTTACAGGATGTAAATACACCCTATTCCAAATTCTCCAAAGGGAAGATACTCCATTTCTTTGTCTCTATTGATAACCTTTTGTATAATGGATTCCAGGCTAAATTACGGGTGAAATATGAGAGAGTAGAATGAGAATTGATTTTGTTCCACTTTTGTCTCTATGGCCTGACCCTGTCGGCGTTCTGTTCGCAGTGCTGTTAATGATGTACCACCACCTTGCTGCTTATCTCAGTGGTACAGGAAGATGGGGTTGTGCCTCCCTCCTAGTGCTCCCTGGTTATGTGATTTTAGTGAGCCAGAGTTTAAGACTCCAGAGGACAGCCCTTCCCCCAGTGCCTCGTGCTAACACCTCTCTTTCCTTTGTTTCTTTAGCAAGGAGGGTGTGTATGAAATCAGCCTGGCACCCACAGGTGTATCTAGGTAAGTGACTCCTCACTTGAAAGGGACTATAATTATCACCAAGTTATAATCTGTTAAAACAGACTTGTAATTTCTGCACTTTAAGTTCTTGGGGAATAAGAATCTTGTAATATATAATATTCTAGTGTGAAAATATTTTCATAGCCTCCCTGTCAGATATAGTCACTATTACTACCCCAGCTTCTCAGATGAGGAACAGAAGCCTCGAGAGATTGAGTCCTTTTACAGCTGCATAGTAACTTCATTTTAGAGTTGGGTTTAGTCTATCCTTGGCTTCTCTGCTGTGAGTGCTGCATTATATTATTATTGTATTATTTTTTGTGAATTACTTACAAATACTAATTATATAGTATTACATGTCATTTATATTGCTACATTAGGGTGGATTTCAGTAGTTAAAGTACAAGACATTAGCTATTATTTTAAAAACATTTTGAAAACCTCACCGTAATACATAAGTGCGCTAATTGTCACTATAAAATTAATGAAACATTCAAAACAAATATAGCAGAGCTTACACATCTAAGTGAGTTGCTTAGAGGATCTTCTGCTAGACTTGGAAGTCTCTAAAAAGTTCGTTGGCACTGTTGTCATTATCACCCTGCTTGGAATCTCCCCTTTTAAGCAAAGTTAACAGCTATACAGAACCAGTTGCATTACTTTGGTTATAGCTTATTGTTAATTTGTTGTGGCTTCAGGTGAATTTTGAATAATGGAATGCACCTTCAGAGTGAAGATTGGCTGCCACCAAGGCTCTTCAGGAGACTATCCCATGGGCTTTCAGAACATTTCTTTGGAAAGATACACAAAATGATTTTTGAGCTAAATTGGCATTGTTGAAATAAACATGCATTCAGTGAGAGAAAGAATCCTCATTTGCATCTGTTTATTTTGATATAGTCATTAATGATCTCTGTCTTTCCATGTAATTGGCATAGTCTCTTAAAAGACCACTAGTTGTTAAACTAAAGATGAGTATGATCTTTGGGTTGTAAATGAGAAAACCAAGATTCAGGAGCATTAACTAACTTTCCCAAGATTTCACAGCTAAAAACCATGCTGATAATTTCTGGCCTTTAAATTCTTGGTATTTTTATTTGGTAGTACTAAAATTCTGAGTTGTATTTGAATCAGTCTGTAGAAGCTCTCATGTATCCCTTAATTTGGCTTAACATGGAAGGAATTTATTTTATATTTGGAGCATTGTGACCTGGGTGATATTAGCCTTTGCTTGCTGTGGAGGGGAAAAATGACTTCATCTACCCACAGGAGGGAGGATCCAGGTGAACACTGCTCAGGGTTAGACATCTAACCCATCTTTTCCATGTTCTTTAGCTAATAGCAGTTCTTTCTGCCTCAAGGGTGTGCTTGTATCCTGGCTTCCTTGACTTGAAAGAAGCTGACTGGATGTTGGAACAGCTTTGCCGGGACGTCCCCTGGAAACAGAGGATGGGCATCAGAGAGGGTGAGTAGATCTGCGAGGCGACAGTGGCACTGCCTTGGTCTCCCTCAGAGTGTTTTCCACTGTCTCTGCCTCTGCTCACCACAGCCAGTCTTAAACAGAGATTTGACCTGACACCCTGAGGAGGAGCAGGAAGTAGCTAGTCACAGGGGACAGGAATACTCCAGGCAGAAGAGACTCTGGCGAAGGCCCAGAGGTCAGGGAGGCCATGGTGAGAGCACAAGGGGCCAGGGGAGGCTGGGTTGCCTGCACTGCTGACACACTCCCTTTATGTCGGTTTCTCCTTCTGTTACTTCCAGAGATGCTAGCTTCCTTCTTTCTTCATGGAGGCGTCCAGAGTTTTCTTTTTTTCTGATCCTATTTGGCATACATTTTTTTTCCATTTACTCTTATTGACTTTTAATTCTCATTTTACTTTCACCAGAAGAGTCCAGTTTCTTCTGGTTTCAGCATCAGCACTCACTGAACTTGTGAAGCTGAAGCAGAATTTATTACCTGACCTGGAGCCTGTCCTTCCTCTGTAGGCAGCCCACAGCCAACGCTGCCTGTTATGCCACAGATGGTCACTGGGGGTCGTCTGTGCTCTAGCTCGGTGTTTCCTTCCTGGCACATTGTGTGAATTTAAATTTTCTGTAAAGAAAGGCAATGTATCCTGACTTCATTTTTGTTATTCACACATCAGAACAGGAGTCAGCTTTTATGGGGCAACTTTCTCCCAAATCCCAGGAGTTCCTACAGCACAGCTTTGGTTGCATACCATACTTGCTCTGTCATTCAAAGTAATTGTTAATTTTAAGCAAATTATAGTTAAGTAACTCTCTAATCCTTGGTTTTTATATCTTTAAGTTGAGCTAATAATAATAATACCTGTCTTATATGGTGGTTGTGTTAATTAAATGAGATAAGGCATGATAAACGCTTAACAGAATGCCTGGTACATAGTAAGTAGGCCTTTGCCAAGGTTAGCTGTCTTGTTTGTTTGTTTTGGCATTGAGGCTTAAACTCAGAACTTTGCCCCTGCTGAACATACACTTTACTGGTGAACTGCGTCTCCAGAGCTGCTGCTGCTTACTGTGGTTGTAATTGATATTAGTTGTGGGAAAAACAGCAGATCTATAGATAGCTTCCTCTCTAAATAAACTCAAACATCAAAAACTTCTGGCTAATGCCAGCTGTATGGTACAGTTGATCAGAACCCTTTTCCTTCATTTGGAATCAAAAGGGCTTGTGCAGTGTTGAACACAGGGGTGATTGCTTTGCCTTGTTTTTCTCATGGACATTGGTGCCACAAATTCCTGCTTGCAAGGGTCCAGGCTCCATAGCCTGCCTTTTTGAGACTCTTGTTTATGTCATTACTGAAACAAACAAGTCACAGTTCTCATCTCAGAGCCTTTGCTCAGGCTGTTTCTGCTATTGTGTCTTCTCCGTCTCGTCTTCCTTGCTAGCTCTACCCACCCGTCCTACTCACCAAAGCCTAACATGTCCATGATGCTGGAACCTGGGTCAGAGCCCATCCCTCTCTTCCTCTGTGTTTCTCCTGACCACTTGTACATTGCAAGGCCTATAGTTGACGCACAGTCGGTACACCTTGAATAGCACTAAACCATCTCAAGAGCCCTGTATTTTCTCTCTTAGATATAACTTATCCACAACCAAGACTTACAGCATGGTATGGAGAACTTCCGTACACTTATTCAAGAATCACTATGGAACCAAATCCTCACGTATGTTGAAATATTGTCCTTGGTGTAATTTTATAGACTATCTATTGTAAGTTTTGAGAACTATAGAGTAACAATAAGCTGTCTTGCAAAGGTACAGGAGGATTGCTAGTTCATAAAATCCTCTGGGTTTAAAATTGAGACTTTGTGCTTGTCATCCTTGATCCATAGATGAATTCAGGATGAGTGAAAACTAGAGTAAGCTGGAACTGGAGTCCAGGATTTCAGAACATGAACTATTTCTTCTGATACCTCCCTACCCAGGCTTTCTGGCTGTGACCCTTCTGTGTACACCCTGCTACACATTTGTTGTGTGGCTATATCCTTATGCCTAGCCAGTGAGGTTAGAATGTCTTTTTCCATCTCTAAGACTTCTTTGCTATTTATGAAAAAAAATCTGACTTTTTTTATTTTTGTTAACTTTGTATTCATTCTATGCCTATATTTCCTCAGACTTCCAACTTATTACCACTTTGGCTTGTTTCTGCTGCTTTTTTGGTTTTTAAAAATTTCCATGACAGTAGACAAAGATATTTTAGTATATAAATTAAACTCGTCCAGCGGATGGAATTAAGATCCAAGAAATAACTCCCTGTTTAGTTCCTGGAATCTTGCCTTTGGCAAATAATGCTATGCTTTATTGAAAGAGACTGAAGAAAATGGAGTTTTGCTTGTGGCATTTGGATACACAGAAATGTGACACATTTTGGAACTTATGGTAATATGTAAACACAAACCACCAATTTACTAAAATGTTCACAGATAAAACATTGTCTGGGATATTTTTTACAAAAGAGATATGCTTTGGTTCCTAGTGCTGTATTTAGAATGTGACCTAGGAAAGTGTCGAGACCCTTTGTAACTGAGGTTGATTTGGAAACATGGAGAGACTTGAATTAGGCCAGTCCAACATAGACCACTATGCTTGTTTTTGTCAGAATTAATTACCTTCTTGTCAACAGTCACAGCTGAAGTTGGGGATTAACCAGGCTGTCGGGAAGAAGCTCTTTTTTTACTCTAGTTGATCTTTAAAACAGGGTTTTTCAACCTCAGTGCTGCTGACATTTTGGACTGGATAATTCTTTGGTGCAGGGCTGTCTTGAGCATTGTAGGATGTGTAGTAGTGTCCATGACCAGTGGCTCCTCTCACACCATCATGACAACCAGAGTGACTCCAGACCTTGCCATACATCTGCTGAGGCATAACTGCCCTGATGAAGAAGCACCATTTCAGAGTAAATGTGTCATATGAGATTTGCTGAATAGAGTTTCTTATTGTCTTTCACTCTGGGGGCCTTTTTTTTTTTTTTTTTTTTTTTGACAACCCTTCAAAATAATTTTGTATGACAAATCTTTTTTAAACAATGTAATGTGTGCTTATTATTCGAAATGTAGATAACTTAAAATAACATAAAGGAGAGTTCTAAAATTTTAATGATTTTTTTTCCCACCTGGTGTTTTAGTTCCAGTCTTTTTTACTTTAGGCAAAGATATGTAGAGGAATTTTCCTATCAAAATAAGATCAATTGGGGTGGGATTGTGGCTCAGTGGTAGAGCACTCGCCTAGCATGGGTGGGACCTGGATTCTGTCCTCAGCACCACATAAAAATAAAGGCATTGTGTTGTGTCCATCTACACCTAAAAAAATAAATATTAAAAAAATACATAAAAAAAATCAATTATGTCTACTCTGTTCCATTTAGCCATATATCATTAACATTCTTTAGTGCCATTAAGTATTCTTCACCATATTTAAAAGCTGCATAATGTTCCATAACTTATTTTAAGCAAGCTACTTTTGTTGGATATTAAGATTATCATATTGGGATTCTTTAATCTGGAATTTCTGTGTTTTTTGTTAATAGATTTAGTTTATTTATATACTGTTTTGAAGTTGCCCCTTTCTCTGTTTTTTTTTTTTTTTTTTTTTAAAAAGGAGGATTCACAGTGTATATGCATGTTGGGGTACTTGTTTAATTTAAAAATCATTATTACCTCAAGCTTAACATCCAATGGAAAAGAGTCAGGTTCAGTCATATGTTTTTAATTTTGTTTTATAAGATTTGTTCCAAATAAATCTTATGTGGACCCAGTAGGTAAACCAGATCCAAGCACTGACTGGCTGAGAATGCCACCATCTTGGTTACCCCTTCTCCTACTGTAGACTCTGACCACCTTCGTGGTACCTAGGACTCTGCAAAACATTGTTTGAAATCTTTTTCCTCTGTGATTTTTGTTTTCTCATACTCTTTTTCTCAAATGTCTTTTAAGGATAGAATGTCTTCACTGAACAGTGAGATGACGCTGAATTTTAATTTAGACATTCAGTTCTGAAGGATCTGTATATAGAGTATTGGTTAAAGAGTCTAAATTAATCCTCTAGTTCATTATCCCCGTTTTTCTCCCTTTCTATCTACTTCAACTACCAGAAATAACCAAGAAAAAAATATATACCCACTTCAAAATGTAATGCAAACTTGATGTTATCACAGTGCTTAGCCCCCAAGTAAATCAGGGAGGTGCTAATTAGATTCACAGTCACATTATAGAAACGCTACCTTTCTCCTTTATATCTTGGTTTTCTTATTCTAGTATCTGATCTTTAGCTCCATGAAGATAAGTTTAAAGCTGTAAAATAAATAGGAATTACAGATTACTGACATTATTTTTGGAATTTCACTTTGGAATTTGTTCTCTTGAACATAGGTTAGTTTAATAACATTTTTATTGTATTGATCCAAGTTTTCTTTGTTGTCACTGTTTATTTTTTTAAAATGCTCTGCTTAGGATATAATGCTGATAACTATAACAAGGACACCCACCTTCAACCATGGTTTCCATTTCAATGAGTGATGCTCACATATGCTTCCCTGGCACTTTTACCTGACAGTAACCATGTGACATACTTAACAATGTTGTGCTTGCCTTTGCCAAACACCTGTTCTGTCAGTACCAAACATGTACACAGACATTTGAGGAGTTCTTCAGAGTCACAGTTCTTGAGGAATAAGCTTTGGATCTCTGGAAGGTAGTCCATGAAACCTTTTGTAGGGGATCTTCAATAGTATTATTATTATTATAATATTGTGGTGCTGGGGATTGAACCCAGGGCTATGTGCATGCAAGGCACACATTACAAACTGAGCTATATCCCCAGCCCCAATAGTATTATTTTTAAAATAGTATAAGACTATTCAGTGTTTGCACTGTTTTGATTTGCACTGATGTTACAAAAGTGCTAGAGAATAAAATTGGTGGCACTGTAGTATGAATTAAGTAAGCATTGTCACCTAGCTATACTGGTAGTCATTGTGTTCTTCACCACCGTGCACTTCCAGTTTAAAGTTTAAAAAATGCTGATTTCATTTAAGAATTTCCCTTCATGAAGAGTAGACATTATTAGTTTTCTTAAATCTTGGCCTTTGAGTGCATGTCTTCCTACTAGTTGGATGAAATTGAAAGTACACACAAAGCACCTGCTACAAACCAGAAAGCATTTGTTTGAGCTTAAAGCTGAACTAGCTGCTTTTTTCATGGGCTATTATTATTTAGAAGAACAATAAGAAACAGACTGGTTATTCAGACTTGAATGCTTGGTATCTATTTCCTCATAAATGAATGAAGTCAGTGTCACTTCAAGGAAAACAACAAACAGGATTTATTACTAATGATAGAAGTTGAACTTGGACAAGAATTAGAACTTTGAAAAACTGGTATCCATTACTTTAAGCCTGACTTCTTCCTATTACTTAGACTTTTCTGACAAGGTCAGTATAGTATTAATGGATGTGAGTTTTGTTGTTGTATAATGAAGTGTTTCAATGTCTAGAAAATCTGTATAGTAACTCAGTTGAACTAGTATTTTCCATATGATCCTGGGGAATGTTATGAAATAATATTGGGTTAAAGATTTCATCCAAAGTGCAAGCTGGACCAGTAGATTTAAATGCAAAAGAATACAAAAAGTTTGCCGGGTGTGGTGGTGCAAACTTGTAATCCCAGAGGCTTGGTAGGCTGAGGCAGGAGGATCGCAAGTTCAAAGCCAGCTTCAGCAAAAGTGAGGTGCTAAGTAACTACTGAGACCCTATCTCTAAATAAAATACAAATATAGGACTGAGGATGTAGCTCAGTGGTTGAATGCCCGTCATTTCAATTCCTGGTATCCCCTCGCCCCCCCCCAAAAAACAAAAACGAAACCAACAACAAAAAAGAACTGAAAAAGTTTAAAATGGTTTCAGATGCCACATTATTTGAAAGAACTGTAAACTACATATTTGGGTGAAGCTAATTTTTTTTTTCATGTACTTCAATGAAAATAACATTTTAACATACTGAATACAGAATCATAAAAGAAGAATTATCTTACTTCTGTTGTCAGACACTTTAGAGATTTGTAAAACAGTTTTTTGCATTACAAATTACAGTTATTTTTATAACAGAATATTTATATTAACATATAATGGATTTGTTATTGTACTTTAAATAAATTAATCAATAATTTAATCTTTCTTTCTTTCTTTCTCTCTCTCTCTTTCTTTGGAATTGAACCCAGCACCTCACACATGCTAGGCAAACATTCTACCACTGAGCCATATTCCCAGATCATCAGTCTTAATTTTTAATATGGTAAATATCAATAGCAATAATCCATATAAATAAAAGTTCTTTGGGGTCCTCAATAATTTTGATAGGTTAAAGCTTAAAAAACACTGTCCTGAAGTACCTGTAGAGCCCTTGAGATTTCTGGAAGTTACGGAATTCTAGCAAAAATTCAAAACAGTGCAAATTCCAGTGCAAGTTTAAAATAGTGAAAACACTGAATAGTCTTGTATTGTTTTAAAAATAATTCTATTGGGGATGGGGATATAGCTCAGTTTGTAGAGTGCATTCCTTGCATGCACATAGCCCTGGGTTCAATCCCCAGCACGACAAGCTTCACATAGGAGCTTCCTGTGGAAAGTGTAGCCCCTGACAGTTCTAAATACGCACTACCTCAGTGAACTCAGGGCACAGGAGGCAGGGTTGTGGTATCCCATGAAGTCTGATGGAGTTTACAGCCCTTACAGTGTTCAGGGCATGTCATGATTCCTATTCTGTAGAAAAGAATTTTTTCCCCTCCAGGTTCTGTTTTTAGGAAGTTAGCCACTCGAAGTATTAAATATCTTTTTTTAAAAGCAACTCTGCCCTTGAGAATCAAATAAGAATAGATTGAACAGAGAGACATCCAGTGAGGAGTTCTTTCCCTCCTCAGTTTGTGCTACTTGGCTGCCCATCAGCTTCTCTGCTTCACTTGCCCCCCTGATAGCTTACCACAGGAACTGCCCTGAATATGTTGACATTTGCTTTTTGGTGAGGGCCATGTATTTAACACGAGAAAGATGAGGTGGGTATAGAGGCCCTGGTTCTGACATTGCTGTACCAAATTTAGTACTTTTACAACATTCCACAGGTTAACTTGCTTCAAAATTAAAATGATGGAAGGAAATTAGGCTAACTCTTCTTGCTTACTGTTTACTCCATTCCGTGTGGTTTGCTTATTCCATGCCCCCATTTGTAACTTGACCTGTTTGCCCTTTCTTTCTTCTTTCCACGTGGCTGCCATCTCGTGCCTGTGTAACTGCCTCTGCACTGTCCTTGACCTGTTGACTACAGTGGCATCCTGTGCTGAGCACCCTGAAGAACCGCATTGAGGGGAACACTGGCCACACCTTCAACTCCTTACTCTGCAATCTTTATCGGAACGAGAAGGACAGTGTGGACTGGCACAGCGATGATGAACCCTCACTAGGGAGATGCCCCGTCATCGCTTCACTCAGTTTTGGCGCCACACGCACTTTTGAGATGAGAAAGAAGCCCCCGCCTGTAAGTATTTCTTTTTTGTCTCACCCTGCCTCCTATTACTCTGTGTAGAAAGTAGAGCTCCTAAAAGCTCCTATCTGCAGATAGAGAGGATACAAGTGTGGGTGTTACTGAGAAAACATGTTCAACTGATTGCTTGCCCATAGTAAGCTTCTGGCCTCCAGAGTGCCTGCTTGTTCATTTACATAGCCAACGGGAATGCCTGCACCATCTCGGTGTTGGGGGTCATGTTCATTGATTGAAAGAACTGACAGTCCTGTCCTCATGGAGATACATTTAGTGGAGGTAGAAGATGTTGCTAATTACTCAGATAATTGCAATTGTGGTAAATGCTATGATGGAGGGCCTACAGGGTAACTCAAGCTCATGGAGCAAGAAGGGAAAGTAAAGAGCTTCAGAAAAAGATGCCCCTGAAGAAGCCTTCATTTTAAATGCTCTCATGACAGCCCGGGCCTTGTGCTGCGAGAGAGTGTCACATGCACTTTTGTTCCTCCTAAACCTTCTCCTGAAAGATGCATAAACCTGGACTCTTTTGGAGAGAGGAAACTAAAAGCCAGATTACCAGAGGTTATCATCTAAGTTCACGTAGAAAAGCAGTGACTGAACTGGGTGATGATTTCAGTTTCTCATACAGCTCTTACCTCACTTGCATGAAATTTGATACTAGGGCTATTAATTTTTTTTTTTTTTTTTTGGTGCTGGGGATTAAACCCAGGGCCTCCCACATGATGAGCGTGCACTATACTACTGAGCTACACACACTGCCAGCCCTAAGTTTTTAAAATCAAAAGTGATAGAGACAAAGATAGAGAAGTAGCAGGGACTCCAAGAAAATAGTAAACTTCCACCACGTTATCTTATTTCCAGGGTTTGTGTCTCTTCTTAACCAAGGATCCTGATTATTCAGCTTGCATCATTAAACCAGACCCAGTCAACTGTGGAGGCCAGTAGGCTGATTTTTGAATATGACCTAATCTAGGCCACATCCTTATTAGTCACTCAGTGCTGAGTCTGTTCTTCATCAGATATACTTGTCTAAGAATACAATTAAGGGGCCCTGGGCTGCCTTCCTGGGGTGTGTTGGGTTCCATGCTGTGGGTATTTTGGAGCATATTGAGTTATTCTGCATGTATGCCAATAAGCACTTTTATTGGTATAATTTCCCTTAATTAGTTTTTCTTTGCTTTTGTTTACATAGAAACTTTGGTCATGGTTGGCAGGGGATTGTATCTTGCCAGTGTCTTATCAGCTTGTTCCCTTAGCACTTGAATAGACTTTACATTGTCACTGGCAAGCAGCCTCCATGTACCTAGGAGTGCCACTTGAGAATCAAGCTCCCCAGCCTTTGCTGTATTCTTGTTAGATTTGGTTGTGTTTGTGTACAGAGCACTCACTCAGTTAAATCCCAGATTCATGCTTGTGAAGAATTCATCTTGCCCTTGAGATGATTTCTGTTTTATGAATCACAGAGAAACACTGTGTGTCTCATTATTTAAGTTAAGACCTTCTCAAACTAGACACATGAACACCATCATGCTGCCAGGCATGGTCTTGGGAGCTAGGCTTACCTTCCTTCTGCAGCTGTCCTTCCAGCCTTCTGATTGGCACATAAGCTTCAGGAATGTCATCTTTAGTATAATCCTTGTCTTTAGTGCTTCACAGTTATTTTCTTTGTTGCTAAGTATTTAAGTATTCATTCACTGTTTCTTTACACACAGACAGTCACTACCACCACCCCTTTGGGAAAAAATGTGGGGCCTATTTATAGATTGGAGCTTAAAAATTCCTAAAGTATGGCTTCTGGGTAGTTAGTTTTACCATACAAGCAGTTTCCTACTACTAAGCATTAACAATGTTCTGGTGCCCAGAAACACCCCTTTCTTTCTCCTCTTCAGGCAGTAGAAGCTCTTCATTTTCTCACATAAAAACTTAATACGTGGCAATCAATAGCTATTTCTTGGTAATATACTTAAGTTATGTGACAGGTTAATGTGTGCACAGAGACCATTAAAACCATATACAACATTGTTTCTGTGGACAATCAGAACAAAGAAAGAGACCGCCATTACTAAGGCTTTCTCTTTCTTAGATTTCTTGGAGTTTATTTTTAGAAACACCAGTGAAAGTGTAGTACATGAAACACTCAAAAAGTGCCAAAGTCCCCTTCATTGTCTCCCAGTAGCAAGGAATCTGCACCATATATGGAAGCTGATTTGATGAAATATAAATCTAACAAATCAGACAGTTTGTCTGAGGTCTTGAAACAATGCTTGCTGAGGAAAGGGTTGGAGAAGAAGTATAAAGTATAAATCAGTATTACAGATTGTTGGCTGTAGGAACTTTCAGCTTCTGGCCTAGTCCTAATTCTCATTGGATGTGTCACAATATTCATGTATCTTCTCAATTCTGTCTTTTGTTTAAGACGGGGAAAGTTGATATATAATCACTCATCAGTGAATACACCTCAGATGCTCATTCTTGAGTAAACAGGACACAAGTGTTTAAGTATGTGTATGAAAAGACTCCTTCAGACTTCATTAATAGATTCCAAAAATCTGGGGCTTCACCAGTGTCACTAAACTAGAATGGCAGAAGCTTTTCTTTAAGTTGGCAGCCATTAGAGTATACATCTTCAGCGATCCTTTTGAAGGGAAATGGTTATTGCAAATCATTGTCTACTCTCTAAACTCAGGTGATAGCTCTGGGAACGTAACTCATGATTCATACTACCCAAGGTAAAGCATAAATTCAAAAGTATAAATTAGTTTAATCTTCTGTGTGGGCTTTGTAGGAGTCTGACTTTCTGTAACTCTTAGAGATCTATCACAGAACGCTGCCATGGGTTGTAATTGTCATGTCTGTCAACAAGACACTTTTGAGGTACCTTAAAGATTGTGGGAGGGACTCTTTCAGACTCCTATTCACTTTGCCTTGTCAGATAAGCTCAAATCTCTTTGATTTGAGTCACAGTTTCTCATCTGAAGCTATCAAAGAAGTCACAAGATTCTCTGCACTTCATGCATGTATTCGGTTTTGAAACAAAATCATTTGTTTTTCTACTTTCAAAGAGAAATAATCTTGAGTTTTTAAAAATTCAAACTCCTCCTCCTCTGCAGCAGCTGCTGTTTTGACGTCTGGCACCTTGAGTAGATCTCTGTAGCTGCTGATCTTCTAAGAGCTGCCCCAGTTCCATACACTGTATTCTTCACGATTTCTGATTTCTCCCCATGCTGAGATGGGAAGGCAACCTTTGTTTCCTAGGGGTCAGCACCCCACCCCCATTTCATGCATTTGGCTGAGTCTGAGTCCTGCATACATCATCCCTGGGTTTAACATCTCTCTCCCTCAAGGTGCCCATCCTTTTTTCACTATTCTGTGTCCTAGTCTGTAAACTCTTGCTCATTTATTTTGATTTTAGAGAAAGTTTCCATTTCCTCTAATAGTAGTAAGGTACTTGGGGGCTGGTAGACTTGTTTGATCTTGTTCTTTCATTTACCCCATCCCTTCTGTTGTGTAGTTAAATTGGAGGCTGAGGGAAGAGTACCATACCCATATCCTGGCCATTGCTTGGCTATCCCACTTTAAGACCAAAGTAAACCTTACCAGATATTCTTCACTTCACCTTTTTTATTCTATAGGGTTGGGTTTGTGAGAGCTTGCCTACACTTCTTGTCTCAAACCTGGTTGTACTTTTCAAACTACATCGTGTCCTTGTTTGCAAAGATTCACCTGGTTCTTTTCCCAACTAATACTAATTCTACACAGAAGAACAAACTGGAAAAGGAACTACAAAAGCCATTTGGCAGGCTGCTATTTCTCTGTCGGTTACCATGGAAACTGATGGCTGAGTTGGGGGGTTATTAGATAATAGCAGGAAGTTTGTGATGCACTGGAGGTTTAGATGCCAAAAGCCTTGTTTTTCTAGCAAATTATCTTGGATGAGCTCTTTCCTTTACCAGTATCTTGTATGTGACTATGAGAGGCTTCTTTCCACCCCTAGCTGATTGAGCTCAGGCCGGCTGGGCCTTTCTCCCAGCGCTCCTCTCCCAAATGCCTTCTGAAGGAAGGGTCCTGTTCATCTCACCAGAGCAGATAGCTGTAAAAGCAGGTCTAGTGGTGGAGACCTGCTGCCTCCCTTGCTTTTTCTTTTATGTCTTGTGTTCTGCACACTGCTAAGAAGAATGAAGTATAAAAAAAAAAGCCCTGATCATAAATATTGATGTTTTTTCCTTGGACTCTAGAAAAAATTAGGATATTGAAATCCAAAATAATAGGAAACTGGATAAGCCAGGCTTGTGCAGCATTTCACGGTGAGGCAGCAGCCCCTGCTGCTGCACCCCAGCCACCCATCGCACCCTCTGATTACAGCATCTGTTCTGAGGGGTCACGAGAAACACTCAAAAGAAACTGTTGATAACCACAGTCCTTTTAACCATTCCCTAATGAAATTTAGAAAATCAAGTTTTATTTCCTGTTTCTGTCCCTGAGGTTGGTAAAAAGCACTTATCTGCCTCATTTATATTTATTCCTTTTTGTAAATGGAAATGATAATTGGTAGCCACTTCATGGGAGTGATCAAAAAATTTTCTCATGAAAATTCCTGCAGTAGTCAGTGAATTTTTAAGCTGTTATAAATGGTAGATACCATGGTGACTTATCAGAAATTGAAAAAGGAAATGAATATCAGTGAAATAGGCTCCAAGTTCTCTTGGCCGAGAAGTATAATGGAATCTTAGGGAATTTGAAGCGGTCTTTGGGTCAGAAATACTGATGGAGCTTTGTGGCTACTATCTCTAGAGCTGTCTCATTAGATATCACTGGAGCTATCTCATTGGAGGGTGTGAATGAGTAAATGAGTGTGTGTGTATGTGTGTGTGTTGTATAAGTGGATAGTCTTGGTATGTCTTGAGTTACCTTCAGACTTGAGATTTCTTGGGAGTTGAAATTACCATTTGCTTCCTCAGGGCCTTGTCTCAGCCTGGAATCCATGCTTGACATCCTTT